GACCGTAATCGTAGTCACTTGAAAACGCGCCATTTGAAAGAAAGTTAAAAGCGCGGGATAAAACAGCTGATTTACGCGTGCGCCACAATGCACGATCTACGAAAACACAACGTTCCATTCGTTCCAACACTGTGCGTATTTACAAGTCACATTGATCATTTATCCGAACACGTTATGTATACTTATCTTTAGATTGAAAGAGACCTGGAGACAATATAACACTCGGCAGCAGTCATGAAGTCAAGTAGGAGAAATCCAATTAATATAAATTACAACGGCTTCTTTTATGCGACCATGTGCCATGTTTGCAAACAGTTTGACGTCCGTCTAAAGAAGTGCAGCGGATGCAAGATGATATTTTATTGTGGGCCGGAGCATCAGAAGCAGCACTGGAGACACCACAGATCATTGTGCAAAGCCATACAGGATGTGCTGGGAACCTACAGCATGGAGGATCGCAATGAAACTTTAGAGAAATGGGACACGAAGAAGAGGAACTTTATGCTGCTAGTAGCACTGAAGCTGAAACGTCCTCTGCAGCTGTACGAGAGGCACATGTTCGAGTTCCCAAAGGAGTGCGCCATTTGCCACGAACAGAATAGCCAGTCGCTGGAGGACTGTCGAAAGTGCGCTGGCAGCTTCTGTAAAGATCACAAAGATGGTATGGAGCACAGGGATATCTGCGCGCCTCTGGAATTATGTTTTCGTATGGATCTAACAAGTGTAACTGAGCAAAACCGTCCCTCGAGGTTGGACTACTTGCGAAAGGTGTCCTACACGGATAAGATTCAGAACATAACGGACTTTATAAATACTTACGCGGATATTCGGTCGCGTTTGAAAATGTACGATATCTTGGCGGCCGAACACTCGCAGTATCTGACACGGCCCTTAACGGTGTTTCATGCTATGCAATTATTGGACTATGTTCCAGAGCGCAAAGACCTAATCATTCATGTTATAGGATCGAGTTACAATGAAGAGGCCACCTTGGTAGCGTGGGAGGTCTTGTTAAATTTATTAGAAATATCGTCGCTTGTAATCATAATGATAGGGCCAGAATTAGAATGTATTTCCAATCCGCTTTCCGTTTGCATGTCGCGACAGAAAGAATGTTGGTTTAAGTTTCACAGCGGATTGTACGAGAGCTACGTGCACGATTCGTCGTTCGCGAAGCCGGACCTGATTGTAGGATTTAACTCTGGTATTCACGAGCAGGAGTTTGGGTCCATTGAGGAAACGTGGTCGCCGTCCATACGCTTGATTGCGAAACAAAATTGTCCGGTTATCTTAACGTGTTACACGCGAGAAGAATTAAAAAACGGGGTAGAAAGAGTTAACACCATCCTGGATAAAAATATAGATTATCTGTATGGCAGAAGGAATTCATTCGCCAGTTTAAGGCCGCACAGGAATCTTGGACCGGAGAAAGTGTTTTATGAAAATAATTATATAATCGTCTATAGGAGTCTTTGTCCGTAACTAACAGGCGTAGTTTTAGTGATAGATACAATTTAAAGGCTCTGTTTATTGATGCCGAGGGAAATTTAGTGCGTGTGAAATAAGGAACACGAATTAAATTAAGCCTAATGTTTAGCAGACGCAACGGACAACGTAGAGAAAATTTGTATGAACAATCACCGCGATGTGTCTTCATAAAACAAAGAGACTCTCAGACCTGATATTTGCACAAGAAGCTTGCTTATTTATGATCTAAAAATCCTACGGACCATTTTCTATACACATCAGAGTCAACGCTGTACTGCCTTTGTCACGCATAATAGATTGTAAATGTAGTAACTGAAATACGTGAATGCAGTAATTAATTAAGATATTAATACAGTTCTGTTTGTGATAAAGATAAGACTTTTCGTCGATTGTTCGTACCTAATACAGTTTTATATCTTTGTATTAAACACACATCGAGCGTGTACGAAGTGAAGTGATAATTATTTCTCTTCGTCATCGATATATCTGATATCATATACGGGATATCATATGGTTTATTGATATACTTTAGAAGAATGAGGTGATGTAATATACAATAGGCCACAAGAGAATAGGTATCACTAGCTCTGTACAGGTTTTCTGAACTGACGTACATCGACCAATTTAATTAAATGATTTGTCATTCATGTCAGTCATGTAGACGATCAATAATCGTATCTCGATTTCTTTTAGTATTCCATGGTCTAGATAGAAAAGCACTAATTAGATTGTTAATGCTGCAAACTGCCGGGAAGGCAGAGATCATTTTGTCCGATAATAATCGAGGCATTTAAGTTGTTTTAAAAAGTACTAGTCACTTGTTGAGAATGTTTCGAGTTCATATGTAAATTGTACCTAACTGCATCTTTGTATATTACGTAAGCTGGAAAAGTATTAGGAGAATATAATTGTAAAAAAGTTACTCTATCTAGAATTCTAAAATTTTTCACGATTTTGAAGAATCGTGATTTCCCAGAATCTTTAAATCTGGAATTTTATATTCTCAAAATTTATGAAAATCGATCAAATATTAGAATATGCGAAAACAACTACATTTTAATTCAAGAAATTCAAATCTTTTTATTTTTGGTTTAATTAATTTTGTTAAAAGAACACATAAAATGCAATATTACATGAATTGTAATACAGGTTATAAACAATATAATATAATTATATATTAAAAGGTTAATTAAAAAAGCAGTGGGTCATAACCACAATTCAAGTAGCAGCCGTAAAATAATTGATTTTTTACAACGATTGAATGTTATAAAGTGACGACAAGTAACGTCTATTTCGTTTCCACCTAGAAGATGATTTATTACAACGTTTGCAAATAATTTATGTAAAGATTACAAACGCAGCGTCTATATAAATTATGCATCATTTTTTATTTCGAAATGTAAATGATTGTACTGAATATCTACAGCGTATGCGATGTGTAATGTAGAGTTTCGATATCTACATAGACTCCATATCGGAACGTTCGATTGGAAAGAGAATTTAAAAGCGCGGGAAGAAAATTAACACGTGCCGACTTACCCGTGCGCATGTCACCTAAATAAAAACATCCTAAATAGGTACCTATATTTATTATAAGTAAAGTTGACCGTTTATCTGGATAACACGTGTACACTTGGCTTTAGTTTGAAGGAAACTTTGTCGTTTGATATAACGAGACTGAGCAGAAGGCATGGAATCAAAGACGAGAATTAAAGATATCGATTATAACAGCTTCTTCTATGCCACCACGTGCCACGTTTGCAAACGGTTTGGTGATGGGGTCAATTTAAAGGCTTGCAGTGGCTGCAATTTGATCTCTTATTGTAGTACGGAGCATCAGAAGCAACATTGGAAGGAGCACTTGTCATTATGTGCCGCCGTAATGTGCGTGCTAACCTGCGGCACGGAAAAATTCCATGAAATTTTGGACTATCGGAACCAGAAGAGGTTCAAGTTTATGCAGCTAATGGAAAACATTCTGGAACGTAGTTTGAAGAAATATGAAAAACAAATGTTTATATTTCCAAGAGAGTGCGCCGTCTGCCACGAACTGACTGGTAAGTTGCTAAAGGATTGTGAGAACTGCGCTGCCAGCTATTGTACAAAACACGTAGACGGTACTGAGCACAAGGATATCTGCGTGACCCTGGAATTATGTTTTCGATTTAATTTCGTAACTGCAAGCGAGGAGCACGATTATATGAGTCATATAAATTACTTGCACCAAGTTTCCAACACGCGTACGTTTCACGACATAAGCGACTTTATAAATATTTATGGGAATGTTCAGACGCAGTTGAAAATGTCTTCTGTTCGTGTGGAAAACTCATATGAAATGTCGAAGATGGTACAGTCGGAGTATCTATCGTATCCCTTAACACTGTTTCACGCTATGCGAGTATTAGATTACGTTCCAAAACGCAAGACCCTAGTCATTCATATTATAGGCTCGACTATCGTCGAAATGACTACCTTACAAACATGGCGAGCTTTTATAAATTTAACAGACACATCATCACTGTTGATTATAATGATAGGGCAGTATTTAAAATTCGTGCAGTCACCCATTTGGTTTACGTCGGGGCAGAAAAAATATTCGGTTGAATTTCACTGTGAATTGTACGAGAACTATGTACGCGGCCCATCTTTTGTGAAACCAGATCTGGTCCTAGGATATCACGTGAATATTCATAAAAGTGGGCCCTTTGCGGAATCGTGGTCAGCGCCCATACAGCTATTGGCGAAACAAAATTGTCCGTTCGTTTTAACATGTTTTACGGAACTACAATCAAAATTAAACATTGAAAGAATTAATAGCATCCTAAAGAGGAAGGTAAAGTATCTGTACGGCGGAAAGAATCCATTCGCCAGTTTAATACCACACAGATACCCCGACACGGAAAAAATCATGTATGAAAATCACTATATAATCGTCTATAGAAGTCTTGGCCTCTAAATAAGCGAAACTTTGAGCGACCGGTACAAACTAAAAACTGGGTGTTTGATACCGAAGAAATTGTAACGCCAGCGAAATGAATTAAATCAAGCTTAATGTGTACTCGACGCAATGGAAAATGTAGAAAAATTTTGTATTACTATCACGGCGAGTCGAAACATGGTCTCGAAACAAACAAACAAGCCCCGATCTAATATTTTACAGGAAGCTTACATATTTGTAATCTAAAAATCCTAGAAAACATTCTTATAAAGTCAATTGTATCACACTTCCTATATTACTCGAGCATAATAGATTATAAATATAATAGTTGGCACGTGGATGCAGTAATTTGTATAATTCACGCCAAATGAAAGACATTAAATCGAACTTAACGTTTAGTAGACGCTGCGAAGATCGCAGAGAAAAGTACATACTCACCGTACGTGTCTTCACGAAACAAAAAGTGTCAGATCATCTGTTATTCCACAGGAAGCTTGCATATTTATCACTTAAAAATCCTAGAGATTTTTCTTTATTCGTATAATATCGATTGTTCAGTATTATTCGAGCATAATGGATCATAAGTATATTTGTGATTTTTATAATAGGTTATAAATATAACCCATTATAAATATAAATTATAATACGGTTTATAAATATAACAGCTGTCATGTGGATGCAATGATTTAAATATTAATACTTGTATATGTTGTGAAAGAGACAAGACTTCAATTGTTTGTAATATACTTTATACCTTTGTAAGAAATATACATATATTATATATCGAGCACGAACAAAGAGCTAATTATTTCTTTCTTCAATCAATAGTGTCTTATCGACTATAACGGCTTGTTCCCAACATGCGCACCTTTCAGAACCTGAACGATTTTATGAACACTTACTACGATATCTCGACTCACTCGGAAGTGTCGGACGATATTTTGAAGATCAGACACGCGCAGTATTTGTCACGTCCCTTAACGTTGTTTTATGGTATGAAATTGTTAGACTATGTCTCAGCACGCAAATATCTCGTTATTCACATTAGACGAGCGACTCAGTTCGAAGAGAGCGTCTTTAATGCACGGGAAGCTGCATTTTGTAATTGTATAAATATTTATATATATATAACATATTACAACTATTATTTATAATTTATTGTTATAATTTATTATAAATTGTTGTGCCATACAGGACAATTGATATTAATTATAACAATAAAAAATAGCTGCAAGGATATGTTGATTATAAATATGCAAGCCTCACAAAAATGTGACATGGTCTAGTATTCTTCTTTACGAACTAAGGTTTTTATATATGCTTAAATATTGATTTGTGAAAGAACTTTTCCTATATCCTTGCAGCTATTTTTTATTGTTATAATTAATATCAATTGTCCTGTATGGCACAACAATTTATAATAAATTATAACAATTATAAATTATAAATAATAGTTGTAATATGTTATATATATATAAATATAGTGAGACGATTATCCCCTTAGGGTTACAAGGCGTTTTTGAAGGAACGTGCCCAAACCTCTTATATAAACACCTCTCTCTATATCCACTTCTATCGCTATGTGGCGATCGAACGAAAAACCAACAACGTTTTTGTTTGGTTTTGAACCCGGATCTTCGGATTACCAGACCAGCGCACAATCCTCTGCGCCACGATCACCACATATAAAAATATTTATATATATATAATAATGTTTACTTTTATAATAAGATTATAAATATATGCGAGCTGACACGCGTAAAAGTGTAATAATTTAAATATTAATTATGATAAAGACAAGACTTTTCGTCGATTGTTTGTGATAAAGTTTTGTATTACTGTAATAAATAACATATCGAGCATGTACCAAGTAAAGTGGTTAATTATTTCTCTCTTCGCCGTCAATATCTCTGAAATCTTTGCATGATGTCAACGATGCCACACGCCTGACTCACGACGACGACGACGAAACGATGGCAGAGATCGAGTGGCCCTGGCAGTACAGTTTCCCGCCGTTCTTTACGTAAATATCGAGTCGTGTTTTCCGGCTAGATTTTTCACATTACTAATAACAGGTTGTACGTGCTGGAATTAACGATACTCAATAACTTTCTCTCGAAAATGCCTCTTTGGCGAGAGCTTGCGTGTCGTAGGTTAGAAACGTTTAGGTTACGGGCGAGAGTACGTACAGGTCTGGTGGTTCGAAGGGTCCTCGAGACCTTGTCTAATGAATACGCAACTATTTGTCGCAGGCTTCAGCCTCACGCCGACACCAGGGCTAAGCAGGTAGCGGCGTGGAAGAGCTTGGTACTGGAGTATCATCGTGTCACGAAGCAGGCGATCGTGGACGTTCGCGAGGTGCACACGAATCCTCTGTTCAACAACGCCAGCATAAACAGTATCCTTCCTGTTCGTCGTGTCGCGTGAACAATTATTCCATCTCGGTCATTAGTTTTCGCTAAGTTGAATTATTCATTAGTTTTTATCAGAATACCCGGGAAAAATAACAATATGTTATTGTATATGTCTCAATCGTGTAATATCAAATGATATGCAATTCTAAAATCATCGAATCTTCAGAGATCTGACACTTTTATTGGATATTCAATGTTATTATCTATTGAGATCCAAGTACGTTCTCTTAGGTTCGGTTTCGCCAACGTTGTCTAACTGTAAGCTTAGCTTGATTCGTTCTTCGTCCAACGTGTTACTTTAAAAAGAGACAAATATGAATTAAACTAAGATTAAAGTTAAGCGACACTTGGTGAAACTGGGCCCTAGGACATTCAATTATAGAATTCTTCAATGTCGCCGGCGGTAATTACGTCAATGTGACATTAAAATGATGAATTTTACGTCATAAAACGATCGACACCAAGATTTACTTTGCAATGACTGATTTATGACATGCTGTTTCGTGATGTGTGTAATAATATATTATTGCAGATTACATGATCAGTGATATATTATGTTTATCATATATTACCTCAATTTATTTTTAATCTATAATATTTAATTAAATTTGCTTTGTAAAACAAGAACATTCTTACAACATTTTGATGTCTTAATGATGTCACAAATAGGTGCTCTCGGTGGGCGATACCCAAGGAGAAAAAAAAGTCAGGATGATGTCAATATGACATCAAATTGACATCGTCCTAACTTTTTGTTCTCCTTGGGATTTTGACGTCACCATGATGCATTAAAAAATGATGTCATCTTGATGTTTTCATGACTAATATGTTCTACTTGGGCAGTGGTTTCTTGACTGGCATCTTTAACAATACAGAAAATTCATTGCGAAAAATATTCCTCCCTACACTCTAGGCCGAACGTATGCCCGCTTAGAGCGTGGGGAGGTCCAGGTTCAAACTCTGGCTGAGGTAATATTTTTCGCAATAAATATTCTGTATCGTTAAGATGCCAGTATGGCGTGGTCAAGAAAACACTGATGTTATTTAATTATAGATTTAGTTAGATCTCAATAGATAACCTCGAGCATTCAAGGAAAGTGTCGGATCTCTGAGGATCTGATGATCTTTAGAATTGGATCTCATGAGATATAATTCGATATTACATGATTGGAACATGTATGAAGAGCGTTTTCCCGGGTAGCTAATTAATCCACCATTATGTACTAGCACATTTTCGTAGTGTTCTCGTGCACAACGACATATTAATTAGGATAACTTATTCGGCTGCTGTGTCGAGACCTTAACCGCGCCATAACAGGAAGGTTGCCGTCCGAAGCTGTGCTGCTGGTATTAGAAGAATTAGGAAAATCGGGGAACGCGTCTCCGCTAGACAAAACGAAACAGAGATGGTTGGTTTATTGGCACACTTTAGAGGAATGGGGCGATGTAATATACAATTGGGCACAGGAGAATGGCTTCGTTGGCTCTGTGTGCACGTTTTTCGAATTGACACAAGGGGAGGACACGGTTGAGCAAGGTACATCAGAGAATATATTTAAATCGTTTGTCACTCGTGTCAATCGCTTACGCGGACGGTCGTTAGTAATCGTGTTATCCGTTTCAGAATTCCACGGTTTGGATACAGAAGTACTGATCAGATCGCTAAGAACGCTGGAAGCTGCCAGAAAGGCGGAGATCATGTCGTTCGATGATAATCAAGGCGTTAAGTTTTTCTAACGCTTGGAGAGCAACCGCTGCTCGTCGAGTTACATACGTAAGCTGTATTTAATTGCGTACTTGTTGTATATTATAATTTAATATATGCATTTGGATGTGTATCTATGGAATAAATTTCAAGTAGATTCCTCTACACTGGCGTAAAGAAACTTAGGCATGGCTCATAAATGCAAACATTTATTTAACACAATACTGGTAATACATTTCTTCTCTTTCCGTTTTCTTATAAAAGCAAACCAAAATCGCTCGGATGCTAAGCTAACGTAAATGTGGAAAACGCCTGATGTATTTCGAGTAAAATATTCGCGGCCGACATTATATAGCTTTTAAGATACATAAATCGTATACGGCACATAGGTTCACTCGAAACGGGAGAAACGCAAAAATCGCGACGGAAATGAATGCAAGACTTCCTGTACCAAAGTCAAGGTGCTAAATGACGCTATCGAAACGAATGACGTGGAACTAAAAAAAAAAGTTGCGCTTACACTTCTCTCGTATAAATTAAAAACTTTCGCGTTAAGTGTCAAACTTAAAAGGAAGGGGATTATTCTCGGCGCCTAATGAATGGAATGATTTTAGACCCAAGTTTCTACGAAGAGGCGCCGTAATCACATGTTCTTGTTATGAATTATTTTCGCTTCGAAGTCACCAGTCTTTGGAAAGCAACTAGAATATTACGTTGTGTTGCGGAGCTAATGTATCGCGACCTATCCCTTACTGTCGAGTCCCAATGCAAAAGAGGAAAAAAGAAAGGCTAAACTGGGATTAAGAACTAACTCTATAAACATATATACAGCATACTTGCTTGACATTTCTTTACGAATGGCAACGCCAAGTAATTAAAGATAAGGACGACCATGCACATACTATTCTGTGGAATTTTATCGAAAATTTCGTCTACGATCCGGGATTTCTTTTCCCCATTTTAATCAGATTTGTAGAAAGCAAACTTGACCTAACTCATGCGCACACCGTTGGTCTTGGTAGCGAGACCGAGAGAGAGAGAAAAACAGAAACGAAACGGTGAGTGATCTTACAATTAGCGTTCCACCATAAATATGAACATGATCTGAATTATTTACAAAACGACGTAACATCGCTGCATTCAATTCTCTTTGTCTCTCAGCTCCAGAGGCGTTGTTATTTTCCTCTTGAACAGCAGAATATGTGGCTCTGAAATTATTCATTCGATTAAGGATCGGACTACCGCGACGCCAGGTATCAATATGCCCTGAGCACGTACCGGGATCATGAACCATGTAGTGCACCCATCCCTGACTTTGCTGGACGCCCATAGCTCTCCACTCCTGCTCGGACATCAGATGGGTTCTCGGCACCAGTTTCACCATTTCTTTCGGTAAAACGACGTGTCTGTGCGAAGAAGAAAACTAATTTAACAAAGACACAAGCCCAAGTAATAAATATGCGAGAGGAGAAACGTAGAAATAAGGAAGGTGTCATGTGAAGAAGGAAATTAACTTAACAAAGACACAAGCCCAAGTAATAAATATGCGAGAGGAGAAACGTGGAAATAAGGAAATGGACAAGCCTCATTTGGATCCTGCGTCACTATATCAGTGGAGAAAAGGGCAAAATCTCTACCTGAATTCACAGTTTCTTTAACAACAGGTTGATCGAGGCCCGATATCACCAAAAGTCGCTTAACTTTAATCCCAGTTTAATTCACGTTCGTCCCTTTCTAGAGTAACAGTTGGAATGAATTAAGCCACGCTCAGAGCTAAGCGACGTTGGTGAAACCGGGGTGAATAGAAGTTTCCAACCTCGGTTCTCCGTTCAATGTTTCAAATCGACGTGGAGACACGAAGATGGCATCTTAATTTAACATTCTACCATTTTACAATCGCGACGAATTGTCCTCGAATTTTCACTCAGTCCTTCCGGCGTGAAAACAACGCGTTAAAAATCCTTCCCTTTTCCCTCACGCACGTCGTTTCCCGGCGCGTGCGTCCCAACAAAAGAATCGTCGCGTCTCAAAAAAAGAGAGAGAGAGAGAGACACAGAGCAAGATGTTGAGATGCAGAAGTCCAGGCCGGACGAGGCGAAGCGAAGGCGCCGTCTCGATCGGCCGTGTCGATTCAAACGTGTCGATCCCGAGGCCGGCTGGACGATCGGAAGGAGAAACAGAGCGGGGCGGGGAAGCAGGACGGGCCGAGTTTGTCCGGAGGAAGCCGCGCAGGCTCGCCCGACGTCGGACTCCCGCACGTAGGGTCCGCCATTGCGTCGCGTTCACGCGGGGGCCCACGCGCGTTTCGGGGCCCCGCGGGGGCACGATCGCCTACCTGTACTCGTACTTATCGTCGTAGTACTTGGCGGAGTAGTAGATGTCCGGCATCGCGTCCCTCGGCGACGCGCAACGACCGGGAGGTTGAACGCTGGGGCCTCTACGCGCTCGCTCTCTTTCTCACGCCAGGCAGGCACGGCGGGCACACCGAAAGGCCACCCTCGGTCGCGTGCGTGCGTACGCTGTCTAATTTGAAACTTCCAACGGATGTGCCGTTTGGCCGAGCGAGCGCGCGGAGTAGTGGACGCGGGACTGCGCGAGTCAACGGAGGCCCCCACGTCCCCGGGGGGGCCTCTGGGTCCCCTCGCTGGCGGAACGTCGCGGCGCCTCGCGCGACGAGAAGCGCGACGGGTCGACGGGGACGAGGAGCCGTCGTCGACGGGCCCTGCGTCTTCGTTCCTCTCGCTCACCGCGACGTTGACTCGCGTAGTCCGGAATCAGCTGCGCGCCGCTCGCGGCAAGATGGCGCGCGCTCGAGACGCTCATCCGGTTCCTCCTTCTCTCTCCCCCCTCTCTCTCTAGCAGGAGAGTGAGGTTAGGTATCGCAGGGTTGACGTTTTATTTGTCTACGTTCTCGCGGCAGTCCGTCAACGCGATGGAGAAGCACTCGCGGGATCGCGCCGGTCACGGATCGAGGAGGGAACGCGACGACGATCGCAGAGGCGAGAACCGGACGTCGCGGGGGACTCGCGATCGCGCGGAGCAGTCGAGACGCGAACTCACGGCGAGGTCCAGGGAGAGGCATAAGATGTCGAGGGACGACGACCCTCGCTCGCGTCGCGAGTCGCGCAAGTCTTCCAAGCGCAAGGACCGAAAGAGGTGAGTCCTCCCTTTGAATCGTAAAGTGTGTACCCGCGAATTCTGCTAAGCGTACGCCTCTTCTCGTTCAGGGAATCGTCCTCGTCTGACTCGAGCAGATCCAGCGACGGCTCGTCCACGGACTCGTCCTCGGACTCCACGAAATTGCTGGAGAAGCTGCAGAAGCAACGGCAGAAGCAGCTGGAGGAGCGCAAGCATCAGAAGGAGCTGATGAAGGCGACGGAGACGCCGGAGGAGAAGCGCCTGCGCCGCCTGAAGAAGAAGGAGGCCAAGGAACGCAGGCGTAAGGAGAGGATGGGCTGGGACAACGACTACCTTCACTACACGAACACGGACAATCCGTTCGGGGACGGCAATATCCTGTCCACCTTCGTGTGGTCCAAGAAGCTGGGGAAGGAGGGTCTGCTGGGCGTGGGCAGAGAGGCGCTGGAGATGCGCAACAGGCACAAGCAGGAGGAGAACAAGCGGGAGCTGGAGAAGGTGAAGAAGAGGCGGCAGGAGAGAGAGCTGGAGCGGCAGCAGAGGGAGGAGGAGATGACCATGTTGCAGAGGGGCAAGGAGGCCGCTCAGCTGGAGCAATGGGCCCGCCAGGAGGATCAGTTCCACCTGGAGCAAGCCAGGCTGCGCTCCCGCATCAGGATCCAGGACGGCCGCGCGAAGCCCATCGATCTTCTCGCCAAGTACATCAGCGCGGAGGAAGAGGTCGACGCGGTGGAGATGCACGAGCCGTACACGTACCTGCGTGGTCTGCACGTCAAGGACCTGGAGGACCTCATAGAGGACATAAAGGTCTACAAGGAGCTCGAGAGGGGCAAGAATTTGGATTACTGGAACGACATAACGGTGATCGTGGAGGACGAGTTGCACAAGCTCAGGAAGTTGGAACGAACGGAATACGAAGTTGGTGAGAGAAACGATTCTGCTTTTCTCCTCCTTCTTATTTGCTCGCCTCACGCTGTATCTTTTCTTCTTGCTTTTTTTCAGCTGTTGGCAGAAGAGAAGGGATTCACGAGTCGGTCGCCAAAGATGTCACGGCCATTTTTAAAGGTAAAACCGCGGCGCAATTGGAGGCCCTGCAGTTGCAGATTCAGGCGAAAATCACCGGGAAGCCAGAAGGCGTCGATATCGGGTATTGGGAAAGTCTTTTGTCTCAGTTAAAAGGTAAGGTGTAACAAAAAATTGGAGGGTGCACTCGAAAACTGCAAATGACCAAGAATAGGAAAGTTGCCTTTAAAAAATGACTAGTTACCGTTACTCGTTACCGAATTAAAAAGTAACTACTTACCGTTACCATTATTTAGTAACGATTCATTCCTTTTTTCGTTACTTTTAATGCCAAAACGAGATAAGACTAAATAAGAAATAAATCTATACTTAGAATGCAACTACAAGGATTATTATAGGATTTTGATTATAGAATTGTTTGGATAAGATTGTCGCTGTATCCTGTACCAAGCTATCGATTGAGCGCACTTGGAAGTTCGTCGGATCAGCCGTTATTGAGATCCGAAAATCTGAGGGCCCGTCAACTCGCGTACTCGCGTAAACTACAACGCACAGTCGGTCTCGCGCGCGCGATTCTAGCTACGCTTATACTTTGCGCGAAACACTACCGTGATATCACATGCGCACTAGCGTCTAAAAATTTATAAGTTTTATAACATATACAGTATCAAAACTTGATGATCGATTCATAAAGTGTATAAAAGATTTATAAAGTATAAAATATGAAGAGTAACGATAAAAATAATTGTTATATTCGTTATCGTTACTAAGAAAAAGTAACTACGTTACCGTTACAGTTACAGGACAAAAATGTAAAGGCTATTCTACAATTGCGTAAACGTGGTTGTTAGCGGTTGTACAGTGTTGTAAAACACAGTTTTAAACTAGCATTTCCCATTGTAAAGCCTGTTGTAAAAGATGGCTGAACTTGATCTTTCACGACTACAACGATGTAGGATGTAAAAGCTAATCAATCATTCATTTCAATTACGACGTATCTCACTCTATTGTATATTACTTTGATGTACAACACTTACTACTACTTCTACTCCTACAACCCTACAACTACGTTTACGCAATTGTAGAATGGCCTTAACGCCGTTACCAATTCGTTACCAAAGAAAAGTAACTGTAACAGTAAGGCTGATGGCAGAGAACAATCCGTAAACGCTTAAGACTGTCTCAGTCGTAGACGTAGGGCAAGGCAGAGAGAGAAACGTAAGTCGTATACAATAGCCTTTCACGACTTACGTTTCTCTCTGCCTTGCCCTACGTCTACGACTGTTGTGAGACTGTCTTAAGCGTTTATGGATTGTTCTCTGCCATCAGCCTAACGGCGTTACAAGTAAGGGCCTGAGCAGAATGGCTGTTTTGTACTCTTAAGACAGCCTAAGCCTTTGTCTTGAGGTAACGCACAATAACTTATGCCTCAAGACATGAGCACAAGACAATCATTCTGCTCAGGCCCTAAGTCTAAATCGTACGACAAATGTAATATCAGACTAGTCTTGTACTCATGTCTCGAGACATAAGACAGTTATTGTGCGTTACCTCAAGACAAAGGCTTAAAACTCAAATCATTGTCTTAAGAGTATAAGACAACCATTCTGCTCAGACCCTAACGCGTTACTTCCCAACCATGCGAATGACAATTGCGCGCGATTCATGCTAACGACAAGTATTAAATGCGCAGCTCATATGGCGAGGGCGCGGCTCAGAGATCGGCATCAAGAGAACTTGCGGAAGAAGTTGGAAGTTCTGATCGCCGAGCAAGGAGTGGCCAGAGCGGAGAACGAGACCGACGGCTCGCAGGCACTGGAAGGCGAGTCCACCGTGAGGCAAGACGAACCTTCGTCCAGCACAGCTGCCGAGAAGAACGAAAACAGCCATTCCGAGTGAGTGTTCTTTCCCTCTCGTCGATTTCGAACTTCTCTTCTGCTGTATATCGAAGTCTTCGTCTCGTCTTTTGTCGACGGTAAGAAAATGCGTAATCGTACCGAATGTTTCAGCGACGATAAAGAGGAGACGAGCGCCGCCAACGATCTGTTATCCGAATCCTTCCGCGAGTACGAGGCGGGCGGCTACTCGCCCACTTATATACCCTACTCGCAGCTCGAACCGGGCACGCTGGTCACGCAGGAAGACGAGGACAGTCAGCGATTGGAGTACGCGAGGCAGCAGGTCCTCAGCACCGGCAGAAAGATCCAGAATGTGCTGACGTCCGAGGAGCAGGCCATGCACCGGGAGGCGCGCAAGGGCATGGGCTCGGACGAGGCGCAGTTCAGCGTCGAGTCGTCGCTGGAGGCGCAGATCTACCTGTGGTCCGACAAGTACCGGCCGCGTAAGCCACGTTACTTCAACCGCGTGCACACCGGCTTCGAGTGGAACAAGTACAATCAGACGCACTACGACATGGACAATCCGCCGCCGAAGATCGTGCAGGGCTACAAGTTCAACATCTTCTATCCGGACCTCATCGACAAGAACACCACGCCGGAATATTTCCTCGTAAGATTATACGCTCCTCTCCTCCGAAACTATCGTGGGCTTAGATTTACGTTAATGATCTGTTAATCACGTTAAATAATACCCCTGTCTTCGACTTTTAGACACCCTGCGCCGACAACAAGGACTTCGCTATCCTGCGATTTCACGCGGGCCCGCCTTACGAGGACATCGCGTTCAAAATTGTCAATCGGGAATGGGAGTACTCGTACAAGCGTGGCTTTAGATGTCAATTCCACAACAATATTTTCCAGCTGTGGTTCCACTTCAAGAGATATAGATACCGCCGTTAACGCGGCGCGTGTACATATCGTTATATAATGTACAATTTTATGGACGACCTGTATATATATATGTATATATGTATATCGTATCGTTCCACGCAGCGAGCGAATCTTTTTAATATTATATTTATACAAGAACAATTACGAATAAAAGCGATCTCGTGATTCGAAGTGGCCCTGGCGTCGTGAGCAAAATGTACGGTTTCCGCAATTTTTGCAACTGCCCATACGCTTATCGCTCGCTCGCTCGTTTCGAACGACTTCCGCGCGATGACGAGAACACGCGCGGCTCGTGCCGCGGGCGCGGTAGAGTCGGTGGTTTTAAACGGCGGTCGTTGGATCGATTTTTCCTCTGCCACCTGTGTACTGTCGCACACTCGACCGCACACATACACACAGGGGGGTAAAAGCTGAGCTAATGGCAAGGTGAAGCCGAGCTCGCAGTACGCCGCGTAATTCGGTGGCAAGGAGCTGGGCGCCGTCGGGAACGCTCGCTTCCGCTTGCGCTCACGCACGATGAAAAATAAATGATCGCGTGGACCACGTATGCACCACCGCGGCCACGTTATTTACGCGTTCGCGTTTGCACGTGCGATTTCTAAAGCGGACGTTCCCGCATTTTTTTCGCGGGCAGTGTAATTTTATCGCAGTTACCTCGGCGCTGTCTCATTCCTATTCGTATTACGATTAATCGGATTCCCGTGCGGTTTCGTTCGGATTGTAACGCAGGTACCTTACCACCTGTTCGTCGGAGGGGAAAACCGCTACATATTCGTGACGTCAATCGAATGACTATTCGAAGAAAAGCGACGACCGTTCGCGCATGTATAGGAAGCGTAGAGCGAAATTCAGTAGGCGTTGAGAAACCTTCCCTCTCCAGCGCGAAGGCTTTCCGAGGCGGATCGTTGATACGACAAATTACAGAACAAAGTTTTACTCATGAACAATGAGACTGAAACACCGATCGGGCAACTTTGACTCTTTAATCGCTTTCGTATCGACGTGAGAGCGCCGGGGGCGAACTCGCGGATGCGTTCGCGGAAGAAAATCTATTGTCGGAAGGAATACGATAAAATGCTTGTGCCGCGAAGCGAGCAGCTAGCGAAGAACTTTCGTACCCGCGACTTGTGAGGATCACGTTAAAATCGCCATGAAGTGGAAGAGAGGACCGTGCGAGTTTCTGTCGCAGAAAACGTTTCTCATAATAAAGGATGACTTGGATATTTCGAAAGGTAATGTTGCTCAGTATTTCGCCGTGCCGGGCACGCTTCTTCTGGTCCGATCCTAAAGTGAAATATTGATTGCATGAATTCGAGAACAAATCACTCAAGGAGACGCGATTTCTCCTTTTGCTGCTGTTTTTTTTTTCAAAATGTAGCAAAGACGTGTCGACCCGTTGAAAACTATAAGTTCTCATTTTTGGAATAAGATCTTATCGCAAATGAAATATATGATTGTAGCGATAAACGGTCTTCTCTTAAATCTTCAACACTCTTATCCCCAGTATATTCTTCAATAATTACTTTGTCTCCAGATCTTAATTACAAATTGTCTAAATTAACACCGACAGTCGCGGTATTAATCTGATTCCAAAAATGAAAAAGCGTGCATTTCAAAGTCTCTCGCAACCCTGGCTTTCGATGGGTTAACCGATCTACGTTCGCGACCACGTCGACGCTCCCAATCAACGACAGATCGTTTTCGTCTAAGCAGGGACGACCAGGGCGGCAAACGGCAAGAAGGCAGCGGCGAAAAATGCGGCGCACACCGGCACCTGGCCGCCAAAGATGAAGCGCGTGCAGGCGTTCTGCGGGGAGGAGCCGGAGAGGCCGAAGACGGCGAATCTCGCGAGGCCGAGCGTGCTGGACCCCGCGCTCGTGGACAAGCTCGACATGTCGTTGCTCAGTAAGGAATTGCTGTGCAACTCGATGACGCGCTACCATCAGTTGACCGGCAAGACGATCGGTGGGGGCATGACATCGTCGTCGTCGTCGTCGTCGTCGCTGTCATTGCTGTTGCCGTCGCCGCCGTCGGCGACACGACGACGCCAGAGCGCCGCCGTCAGCGTCGCGACGACGACCACCACCTGGTCGTCTCACGACGACGCCCCAGTGCGTCGTAAGCGACGGAGCTTCGAGCAGATTCACGAGCCGCGGGCCGCAGCGGGCCACATGGAGGAGCTCAACGGATCGCGATCGCCCGCCGTCGCCGCGATGCAGGAGCACACGTCCGTCAAACGGAACCCCGACGTCAGGAGGCTCGACGATAACAATAATAAGTTAGTGGAGACTAGATTGCGATCGCGAATCAATCGGCTTAACGATATCCTTCTGTAAATTAAAAAGTACTAGGTATTTATAAAATCCGTACGACTCAAGTGTGATAAACACAAATTTGAAGGAATAAAGGACTAAGAGCCGTGACAGGGTGTTAATGTCTAAATATTTCATAATTTTCGCAATAAATTTAAAATGTGAAATACTTGGACATTAACGCCCCGCCACGGCTCGTGGTCCTTTATTCCTTCTAAATATTCATACTTACAATTTGAAGATCATTAAAATTTGAAAGTCTTGCGGCTTATCCGTGAAAAATACGACACCGTTTAGAAATCATAATCACTTATTCATTTTCAAGCAGCTCTCTCGTACTTACTTGTTCTAAATTCACGCGGTTAGAAACAGTCCTCCCAAGGTGCTGTCGACGGTGAAGAAGAAGAACTCGAGGTCCGGTTTATCGAATGACCTGGAAATATTCACCGCCACGTCGGCGAAAAGCGCCCCGGAGCCATGCAAGACCTGCGGACGCCCGGATCAGCCGGAGAGATTCCACAGTCATCCGAAGGGCAGTCGGACCAAAATAAAGGACATCCCGGCGTCGACGACGACGAAACCGAAGCCCGCGGTGCCGCCGGTACCAAAGTCCATCCAGAAGCCGGTGGCAATGAACTTCCGCAGCGACCGGAACAAGAAACTGGACGAGAGCGAGACGAAGTCGAGTCAGGATCGTCCCTCGCGGAACGCGGAGGACAGGTCGTCGTCTGCGCCGACGAGACGGGGCCCCAAGACCGTCACGTGCTACGTATGCGCCCGGGAATTCGGCAACGCCAGCTTCCCCATACACGAGCCCAAATGCATGGAGGTAAAGGTGGCTTCGACATTGTCGTGAAACCCTGAAACAGGATAATTAATGTAATTACCGCTGACATAGCACGATCTAATCTTTCGCTTGGCGAATCACTTGCGCGCCTAAAAATAGATAAAGCCTAAAATTGGGACACACGCGACTGGCGTTTTGACGAAGCCGTGGAGTAAAGCGATATATAAATTCGTCTTCCCATTTCGTCGCGGAAGCAACGGAAGGTCCATAATATAATAACTCTGCAACGATAGCGCGCGTATAATAAGTCAAGGCCCTTCCGCAAGATCGATGGTGGTGTAACGCCGCGTTGCATGTACCATTAAGCTCGATATCAGATGCATTTGTTCGCGTGTAACCGATGTGTCATAGTTGAGCGAGGACTATAACGCAGCGATATCAGTCGGGGGCAATTTATACGCGCTTCGGGGTGTCTTCGACCGACCGCGTTTTTTCCCCGTAACGATGGATTATTTAACGAATACTCTATATCCCGCGTTTGCCCGCACACAAGCTTAGCGCCGTGCGCGACGCTATGCGATTCTTATCTCGCTTTCACATCGCGATCCTCGCGATCGATAAGTAAAATTCATGCATTCGCACGCCGCCCTAGCTATACGAATAGTATACATATTTTGAATCGAGAGACATTAGAGCGAACGTTGTATACCACCGCAGCAATGCCAATGTGCTGCAATATAAAATCGATACAACAGTTGCGTGTTGTAAAATCATAAAAAAGCCGCGTACAAATTCGTTGGAATTCTCTTGTTAGAATAGAGTCTAGTCTTTGAGAATTTTTTTAGCAACTGATCTGCAAAATTGCACCTGTGCTTGTCGGCGAAATAACTATTCTGTATTATATATTTAATAGTTTTGTACTATAATGTTTACGCGTTTACTCGAGCGAACGTCTCTATTACAGAAATGGGAGCGCGAGAATAATTTGCTGCCTCCGTCTCAAAGACGGCCCAGGCCGCAAAGACCCGCGGTTGGTATCGAGCACAACGAGTGGAACGAAGCCGCATGGGAGCAGAGTCAGGTAGATCCATCGCAACAATTTTAATTAGCATTGCTGCGTTAACAATGTATCGCGAGGCGGTCATTCTTACGAAATGCGCCGTTTCCGCTTAACGCCGTTGTTCGCGCTACGTCAATTATATCGGACGACGGACGCGGTCCTTATTCGTCGATGATGCAAGTATCAATTATAGGACGCACACGCGGAGCTCTAGGAGCGTCCCGAAAGACGTGCCCGACGCATATTGGAATAAACTGCGAAAAGAATTGGCGTCTGAAAAGAGTTGGTCTGCAAAAATTCGCCTTACCGTCGAAATTGGAGAAAGAAAATTCGCAAGCCCGAATTTACATCTTGAAAAATTCGTCGCGAGCTTAGTCTAGAATCGAGTTACAAATTGCAATAGGAGTACGTGTCGCGTGCGCGGCCTACGGGGATTTCGTGTTGTTCACGAGTGCGTGATTCCAACGTCGAATATTAAAGACTGCTCTTTAACATCTCATATGCATACAACTCGCGCGAGCGCATATCAAATGAGAACTGCGCAGGGAGGGTCTCCGGCGATTAACTACCATAAAAAAGTCAGAATCATTCGTCATATCCCGAATGATATATCGGTGACTTTAATGCTCCGTGATTACCAACGATTTCGAGCGTCGACATTTAAGATAATCGGAAAACTTTTCTTTAACGAATCTCTCTCAGGTCACTTTGCAATTATTAATTGAATCGCTTAGTGTCCCTGCCAGCACGACAATTAATTTGCTATTAATTCGACTCGCCATAAAACGTACCATTCTTTTGTAATTAAATGCAAATATATATACCTATATACATTACGTTTTCTCTATATTACACGAAGATACGAGAACCTAGATTTTCTTATAGGAGCAATTAATCCCGTGTGCGAAGTGTGGGAGAACGTTTTTGCCAGAACGATTGCCGGTCCACGAGAGAAGCTGCAAAGCCACGCCGAAGGTACTCAAATTCACTCAGCCCACCATGGCGTTCTATTTTTCCCCACGTGTTGTCCGTTTTTCTAGAGTACGATCGAACGACTGTCCACGGCGACGATCGCACGTAATGCGCCGAATACCGTCCCATGTCGTATCTGCGGCCGAAAATTCGGTAGCAGAAGCATCGTGATTCACGAGCCTCAGTGCAACAGGCGATGGCAAGCGCAGACTCAGCAGGAAGATCAAGCCCTCTACAGGCAGAATTCGGTCGATGGACAAAGGAATTCGTCGTTGACGTATCCGGTGAGTTCTACAGGGACGGAAAGCACAAGACGTTTTAATTTCCTTGTGTCTTTTTGCAACAAATTACTTCTACAACATTTACAACCAATTATTTCCGAAACTTCTCATAAACGTTTTCCCTGTTGTGTGCGAAATAAAGCACTCGTACCGGATTGCGCGAGATAAAGCTGTCAAGATGATAATAAATAAAAAGTAAATAAATAAAATAACGTCAGAGAAAGCGCTCTTCAAACGGGACAGCAGGAGAAGAGAGGAGACGTGTAAACCGCTTGATTTTAGGATTTGTCGCAAAAGAAAACAGTTACATGTTACATTTGCGGCCGGGATTTCGGATCGTCCAGTATCGTCATTCACGAGCCCCAGTGCTTGAAGAAGTGGCATGCCGAGAATGACAAGCTGTCGCCGGCTCGGAGAAGAAAGGCGCCACAAAAACCTGAAATCGTATACATACGTAAGTCAACGTTCTCGTTTTCGCAATACTTGCACGCGCATGTGCGCGCAAACGTAACGCGGAAATAAAAAAAAATTATCGGAGGGGCATCTACAATACGTCAGGAAGAGTAGTTTAATACGCAAAAGTTATGATTGAATATTTCATGTCGCAATTCCGAACTTTTAAACGTGTCGACAAATTTTCCTTCTTTTCTCCGCGCTTTCTCTTCGTCGAGCACGAAGGTCTCGAAAAATGATGCATAATGCTCGGGATCGGGGTTTTTTTTCTTTTCTTTCCGGAGCTCATACACGTCTCTTCGATACGCGGTACACAGTTTGCCCTTTCGCGCGCATTTCTGTCTCTCACCTTGAAATTCATTCTAAATCCGCTGTCACGGTCAAGAGCACTACGGGGCGAAACAATCGGGCCGGGGCGATTGCACGTGCATGTATGATATATGAATCCGTAATGTTCGCCGTAGAATGGAAGTGGGTGTAGTCCGGATTAATTATACATGCGCCGCAGATGTATTCTCGATCGGGAGTGCCGCCTGCGAATCGATAATCGTTTGACAGAGCACGACGAAAATCTCTCGACACCCACGTCCCTTGACTTTTACGTAGGGCTAGGAGCACGCTTAAAAAAAAAAAGAAATCTACACGTCGCCGGGAACTAGGATTAACGGCGAGCCTCGAATCTAAATTCTGGAGTCGCCTTGACAGTGAAGTAGTGGCGACATTATCGATTTGAGGCGAAAGGCAGATCGTCTAAGCCGATTTAACGAATCGATTTAAGAACCGCAGGCTCTTAAAGCTCCCCCTACGCTTTTTAAAGGTACGATACAGTCGGCACTGACGGCTTCACTGTTCGCAGAGGATCCTAACACGGGTGGCATGGTGGTCGACCAGACGGCGACGACGGAGGCCAACTGGATGACGCATCTGAGCCAGCTGGTGCCCTGCAAGCGCTGCGGGAGGACCTTCAATCCCGAACGCGTCAACGTTCACGAGAAAAGCTGCAAAGGGAGCCGTTGATTATTATTCTGTCGGCAGAATATATTGTACTAATTGAGTGTCGCTTGTACCTTCTAGAAGTGTGCCGTTTGTGTTTTTATATGGACATCGAATAATATCGACTCTGTAACATAGCTCGTATGCGGCGTTCGGAATTTTTTACTTCGCTTCTACCTAGCTTAACGTTTATTGATTACCGATGTGTAATTCGCGATTGGCTTAATCCTCTGTTTTTCGAGCAGGCGCTCGGATTGTTAACGTAACAAACTCGACGCACCGCACCCGACGCGCATCTTGCGTGAACGCACGAATGCTGTTAGACATTACGGATCAGTGCATAATTACAACGCAATTTCAGTTTAATTAATTACGCAAATCAATTGTCAGCTTATTGTATACAGGGCGTCCCAATTTCATGTCCCACCACGAATAACTTAATTTCGCAGAAAGAAACGTTTCAGACGAAGGTTGTTTGGTTCGAAGGGGGACATAAGATGGTGCCATTAGTTTGACCTTGACGAGTTGCTTGAAGGTCACGTGAAGGTCACCTTTAATTTTTTAAACAAAACCCCCATTGTTTATTACACTGTCTTATACTACTAATTAATATGAATAACTTTTGTCTGAAACCTTTTTCGACTTGCCCAATACTTTTGAGATATTCAAGAGAAAATTGATAACTTTTTCAATGTTTTGCTCATATCTCAATAACTGTTTGTCGGAGGGAAAAGTGGCGCAGGACTTTTTTTTACTTGATTTGGTCCCACACAGCACAGAAAGATCGCAGGAAGATTGCAGAAATGTTACATTGCAAGACTGCAATATTGCAGTAATGTTGCGCAACATTGCTGCAACGTTTCTGGAGGATTGCAGCAACGTTGAAATGTCCGCCCTCAGAGAGATTGCAATGCAACATTATAGCAATGTTGCAGTACAATATATTTGGAATAATTTGTTGTTGTACACAAGTAGAGAATTTACTAATTACATATACATCCAGGCCTTTTTCAATGCATAATAGCAAGCTATTGCGAAGCAACCTAAGGGAGATTGCACTGATCAAGTACTTAATAATTCGCGCATTATCTGTATCAACAAAAATAACATTATAAAATTCTCGTAATTAGAAAAATTTTTTAAATAGAAAATATAGTATTTTCATTATTTTTGAAACATTGCTGCAATATTGCTGCAATATTGCTATCGAAAGTTTGCAATTTTATATGCCTGCAATGTCTGCAAGATTTGCAATGTTTCTGCAATGTAACTGCAACCATCCCAGTGAGAAATGATTCGTCGATCCATGTCAAAACGATGTCAAATCGACATCGATACCGTCAAATTGACGTCGATTCGACAACGTTTCAACATCGATTGACGAATCATTTCTCATTGGAATCTGTGCTGTATAGGGTCTCAGAAGTATGCTGTTGCAATAGTGCTCCAATTACTAAAAACTTCTGTGTATTGTAATTACATACACATACACAAAATTTACCCCGTATACGTGTCCCGGAGTTGTCGTTGTTCCGATTTGCGGATTGTCCCGATTGGTATCGATCCTGGATCGATCCTGTGTTCCTCGTATAGCGTGGCGTTGAACATTTTGTACCTACAATAATAGACGATTAATGAAACAATACAGAATGAGGAAGGATAACGAGTACAAAGGGTTCAGCTACAAAGAACAAACGTCTTAGCGAGGAGACTCGACGTCGGGCGATAACACGTCTTTGTAAATGACTCGAGCGTGAAAGTTTTATAAAATAAAAGTCCATTCGAAGGAGGCACTTACGAGGCAGTCGTATTACTTCTCGACACCTTACTCTCTTTTTCCAGCCGCGATCCGCAAAGGCGACGGGGAGTATTACAGATCGAAATTGAAATCGGGGAGGTTGTGAAACACCGAACCCGATGTTTATTTCGAAATCCGTGCGACAACCGACGCGTCCCTCGAAGCTATTTGTTGCCCGCAGATGGCAGCAGGTACCGACTGCCATTTGAATCGCGTTCCAAAACCCCAGCCGGTTATGCCCACGCAGGTTGAGCGCGATCGGATTGGAGAACGCACGGAAAGAAACGCTCAATGTTCATTTTTAATATAAATTAACTTTAATTAATCTAGGTTTTTTCTTACTTTCCATTTTTCACCTCTCAAAGCCTGCGTCCTCGATGCCAGAACTTGGTCCAAGTTCGAGGTTTCGAGAAGTGTGTAGCCAATCAACTTGCAGCTATTCTATAAAGCGGGGAGCGCACACTTTTGCATAAGTGCATAAACATATACATAACGAATTTGATAGGTCCATTTCCTTGTGCAAAAGTGTGTGCTCCCCGCTTAAAACGCTGGCGTGGCCGCTCTCAGGTTTCTCTCTGGTGCAATCGAAAAATTCAGTTCCTCTTGGGACGTGGGGAAGGAACAGCATTTCTGGAAGAAAAAAATTTCTAATCCTGCGGGGTTGCCTTAAGCCCGTATCAGACTACGGATTGAGATTGGGATTAGATATTGAAACTTGACCAATCAGAGTAAAAGTTACTGAACTTGAGATTAGTAAACTTTACTATGATTGGTTAAATTTCAATCAATCCCAATCCGTAGTCTGATATGGGCTTTATCCGATCGCATCATCCCGATAGTTGGGTCTCTGCATTGTGTTAATAAATTGAAACCTGCTCATATAATTCTACAACGTCTATCATTCGTCGTGGCCGTGTCGGCCCGGTGGTTGGGTCGGGAGCCATTATCCAGACCAACAACAACAGTTATAGTTGCTCTCCTTTTACACTTAAGTGACACCCTGGTAAAAATTCCGTTAGAAACGGATAGAACATGCATAAAATTCTATCTGTTTCTGACTGTTCTACTATGCGTTTCGCGAAACAGATAGAATTTAATGCATGTTCTATCCGTTTCTAACGGAATTTTTACCAGGGTACTGAGGCTGAATTCACATGGAGCGTAACTTGCGTAAGCGTAACCTGCGTATCACCAATCACAGAACTATTTCAACGGAATTATTGAAACGGTTCTATTAAAATGACCTTGTGATTGGTGATACGCAGATTATGCTACGCAAGTTACGCTCCATGTGAATCAAGCCTCAGTCACTCAGTTATGTGAGTATTTTATACTCAGATATGACGTCATTATTAATGTGAGTCTATTAAACTCACTAAAGCACACATGATCTTGATCGTGTGCAAAAACTCAGTTCAATCTGGTTGAATCTCACTTCTCAAGAATCAAAAGGAACATGCATTCAACTGAGTTATGACGGCACAAGTGAAATTTATTTAAGTTTTCATGTAAAAGGAAAGCAACTAAAGCCCACTGCAGACGATGCTATTTTTCCTGCTGGATTGCTTGCAATTTAGTAAATTACTAGGAATCCTGAATGCTGAGTGGTGCAATGATAGTAATTTACTAAATTGCAAGCAATCCAGCAGGAAAAATAGCATCGTCTGCAGCGGGCTTAACAATCAAAAAATTCGACTCGTCTCGCGGTCGACGAGCGAACGAATCCGCGCGGCGAAACCACCGAGATCAGCGCGGCCGCGCGGCGCGCAGCCGGGAATCCGGGATTCGAAAAATGTCGCGTGCCGTGCGCGCGCAGCTCGACGCGGATTGGCCGCGGCGCCGCGCGGCCGCGGTGCGCAGGAGCGCGCGCCGCCGCAACGTGGCGCTCCCTTCACGCATAAGAGGCGACGTTCGGGCTCACGGCGGATAGCTTGTTCTTTCCGAGGGAGTCCGCCATAGTTGGTGCACGTAATATTCTGACCAGGCCGTCTGCAATCGGACAACATCCAAGATGGTACGTAGCCGCGTCGCGACGCCGCCGCGGCGGCCCTCGCCCGCGTGCCGCCGCGCTCGCGCGGCCGCCAATATTTTTCGCGTAATATCCCTCGCTCGGCCGAGTGCACGCCGAGAGGCTTCGTCTCGCGTGCGGCCGCCCTCCCCCCTCCCCCGCCGCGTGTACCGCGTTCGCTCGCGCTCTCGCCCGCATCTCGCGCGCGACGGCGCGATTACCCCGGATTGCGCAACTCTCGCCGAGCGACAGATTTTCGTCCCGGGTCGCGGGTACCGCGGCTCGTCCCGGGCCCGGCCGAGGTTCGCTGCCCGCGGCGCGGGACGGGACGTCGCCGCGGGCACGCGCGGGCCCGTCAGCCTCCGCCGTCGCGGCATCCCCCGCGGAAATATGCCTGGCAACGTGTCATGGTGCGCCTCGCGTGGCCCGTCGACACGCAACGTGCTCGGGTCCAGGAGGGGGAGGGGCCGACGGAAGCAACGCTGGCTGCTCTTCCTCTCCTCGAGGTCCCGTCCTCGCGTTCGCGACGCCGACGCTTTCGGATTCGGGGATCTGCGCGCGGGAGAGTGCGCCGGCCGTCGCGCGTCCGCGGAAAGTGCGCGCGGGCCGCCCCGAGTGGACGAAATATGTTTCGCCGTCGCGTCCCCGCGACACGCGGGACGGCGTCGCCTCGGTACTCCCTGCGAGATTCTGGGTCGACAGCTCGGAACAAAGAGAGGCACGCGAGGGAACTCGCACGTCGCGATGCCCTCGCGGCGTCGCACAGTACACCGCGTATCGCATGATCGTAGAGTATCGAAAGATCGGTCGTTCACGGGCGCAGGTGTAGGGTAAACTTCTTTCTCCGACGTCAGCTCGACAGACGCTGGATACTTTGCCGCGTGTCCAAGGCGCGCGTTTCAATATGGTCGTTGTCAAGATGTCCACTGCGAGAGCATCGCGTTTCTGCCGGGACTGGAATGTGATTCTGGCTGCGGTCAAACTGCTGCTCCGGACGTAGTCTTCTTTTCTTCTCTTTCAGCGAAGATAGAAGAAGGCAAACGCTTCGAAGCATCAGTGGCGGCAGCTTGACCGCTGCTACGGGGTTCGCTTTTAATGCTTCCCCCAAGTGCTTGCTCTTCTTCTACCTTCAGCAAAGACGGAAAGAGTAGGCAAACGAAAGCATTTGTAGCTGCGGCTTGACCGCTATCTCGATATCGCATGTGTCGCGAAGAGAATGGCCCTGGGCCTGACATTAGATTTGTTGTACGACAAAGTTCTCAAGCGTGTCGACTGGCTGCCGAATAAAAGATGCCCAGATGTACTCGAGAATTTCACTATCCTGCAGCTGGTCGACGCACTCGGAGAAAAAAATTTGTCGTACGACAAATGCAATGCCAGTCTTGAGTCAGTTTTGGAAGACTCGTTTCTCCCCGGTGTCGCAATATGTTGCAACAGTCGAATGACACCGACTTGGTTGTCTTATCGTACACTTTTACACTAGCGCGCGCCTAGATTCGAGTCGCGGATCAATGGTTGACTGAACGGGCGATGTCTGTTGCAGGTGAACTTCACAGTAGACGAGATCCGTACCATGATGGACAAGAAGAAGAACATCAGAAACATGTCCGTCATCGCGCACGTCGACCACGGAAAGTCAACTCTGACCGACTCCCTTGTGTCCAAGGCCGGCATCATCGCCGGTGCCAAGGCTGGCGAGACCCGATTTACAGACACGCGTAAGGACGAACAG